TTCTCCTGCTTAATAAATTATTATTATTCCCAAATATATTCCATTTCAACTGCATGTAGAGGTCAATGTCAGTTGCCTTTTAGTCTTGAAATGTTTCTCAAGGTTTACTTGTGTCTGAGTTTCTGATCGAAGCTGTGTTCACCCCACAGGCTTACAAAGCTTTACGTATTCACATAGCATTAACTGGGCTAGAAATTTGGTCCGACAGAGATAAGATAGTGGTGGATTCATTTGCCAACATCACTTTGCGTCGCTTTTCAGAGTGGAGGCAGTCAGTTCTGCTGAAGCGCAAAAGGAATGATAATGCTCAATTGCTCACGTATGTCTCGCTGCGGGGAAAGGGAATGGGGGTGGGCAGGAGTGGAGGAATATGGGAACGTTTAGTGCTGGCGCAGAACGTCTGGTCAGTGCTGCCTGTTTTAAACCACGTGTGCACACTTTTTCTGCGTCAAAGCCAACCATTTTTTCTTAGCAGAGAGCTAGTTTTGAGAGTGGCCAAAAACTCAGCTTGATTTTATTTCACCTGGATTTAAAATTGAAACTCAAATTATTACCCTGTCATGAATGTCCTAATTTTCATCTTCTATCATTTAAACATTCTGTTTTGGTGAGAACTTTAATGTGCTTCTGAATGTCAAAATGTTAGAAGACAGAGACTGTGTACCAGAGGCCTCGGACTGCGTGTTTCTGGTTTAAAAGTCACAAAAATATTTTTTGCCATCCTCAGAAAGATATCCTGAGATGTTAGAATAAAGCAGGCCCTGCCAGTCTCCCTTTTCCAAGCTCATCTACTCTTTAATAACACCACAGCAGAAACCTGATTATTAAAGATACCTGCATTTGGGGTTTTTACAATACATGGAATGTAAATTAACCTAATGGGCTGGATTCACACAACATGCTAACCTCCCTTCCCAACCTAAGCAAGGTTAACACCAGCTAAGCTTAGCGTATAGTGCAAATGTATCCTGGATGTGTTTAACAGACCCGGTTAAAAGGCTTGTGTGAGCACAGCCTAAATTGAATCTTAACTTCCTGTAAGCTGGCATTAACTGAGGATGGAGCTAGGGGCTTTGCAAAAAGCCATAGGGGGTTGCATATGCCCCCGGGGTACAGATTGTGCTCCCACATTCTACAGATTGTATCCCCCCTTCTTTCTTATAGGGATATTGACTTCACTGGACCAGTTATAGGATTGGCTTACGTGGGAACCATGTGCAGTCCTAGCCATTCGGTGGGAGTTGTTCAGGTTGGTGGAAAGGATACCTGTTACCTCTTTGTGGGCAATGAAAACTTTATTCCAAGAAAGTTAGGATCTAGATTGTGCATATGGCCGAATTAATATACATTGAGAAAAGGAGAGGATTTTAAATCTGTTAAAGCTCCAGTATTTTAAGATCCTGTAAGAAAACTTCTTATTAGTTAAGAAGTTGTCGCTATACATTTCATGAAAAACATTTTCTTAGCCATGTTAGAGGGAAGCCACATGGAGGTTAAATTTTTTTACTCCTTAATAAGCAGGATCATAATAGTATAGGGTAACCCATAGCCTGTTTGCTCAAGAAGGTCTCATTTTGATTCACAAAGAAGGATCAACTCTCCCTTAAGACTGTTT